TTTTATAAGGAAGGGATTGTCCTCTAGAGGTGGGTGCTCATCATGTGCAGAGTGAGTGTGATAGCTGAGAAGAAGCCCTGTGTGACTGGAGAGTGAGAAAGAGAGAACGCATGCTGGAGGGGGAGGCAGGAGCACAGATTGTAGATTTTGTTAACAATATGCAAACAATTTTGGGCTTTTCCTGCAAACTTCCTCTACCTCTTAGGGTAATTTTTAAAAATATTTTTTAGTTGTCAATGGACCTTTACTTTATTTATGTGGGTGCTGAGAATTGAACCCAGTGCCTCACACATGCCAGGCAAGTGCTCTACCATTGAGCCATAGCCCCAGTCCCTCTTAGGGTAATTTTTTAAACTTTGTATTTGGACATAATTTTAGACTTATAGAAGTGTTGCAGAAACAGTTCCCAAATCCCTTTCACCCAGCTTCCCCCAATGTCAACATCTAATGTAATCATAGTATAATTATTGAATCTGAAACATTAGCATTGATGCAATACCAGTTATTATAGATTTTTTTTTTCAGGTTTTCACTACTGTGAAACAGCTATTGAATTTTGCATTGGATTTAGTTATCATTCTCCTAAGTCTCTTCCAATCTCACACTCTGAACATGACATTTCACTACTTCAGCTTATCATAAAAATGAGGATGATAAACAGTTATCACACCAAAAAATAATAACAATTCAACATTGTCTGTTAGTATTCCATTTTTATTGCTGCTCCTAAGATATCAATTATGGCTAATTTTCCATTAATATTATAGTTGAATTTCATATTGTGCTTTGAGTTATATCTCTTTAGTTAGCTGTATTCTAGAATCTTTCTATCTGCTATGGTAGTGATTTGCTCACGTGGCAAAGTAAAATGAAATTTAAACTAAGTAAAATTTAAATCCTGTTCCTTATTCACATTAGCTACATTCTAAGTGCTCAGCTAACATATGTAACAGGTGGCTACTATGGTGGAAATCACAGATATAGAATATTTCCAGAAAGTTCTATTTGGATAATCCCATTTTAGAATATTTCCCTCCTATATTTTCCATGTCATTAACTTTTCATGATAGAAGAACAGTTGCTGCTTAGAGCAGGATTTCTCTAATTTAGTGCTGTTGCCTTTCTTGTGGGGGATGTCCTGTGCCTTGTAGGATATTTAGCAGCAGCATTTGGCAGTAGGAGCCCCCAGTAATATCAACTGAAAATGTCTCCTGCTATTTCTAAATGTTCTTTGAAGAATGAGTCACTAGTTTAGGAAACTTTGTTCTGTTTTAATTAAAGATATTAGGAAACCAGAAGAGATGAGCATAATTTATTCTGTATAGGTATAACACTTGTTTTGTTTGAATGAGTGAACAGATGTTGAGATGTTAGGAGCTTTAGATGTTAGAAGAAGATGAATTTCATCAGGAAAATTTATTGGCCCTCCTTTCCTTGTTTCTCTTCCAGTCTTGCCAAGTTTGATCAGGAATTAGAGTGCAGAATCAAGAACATATTAATTAGCTCCAGCTATGGCTGTCAAGCCCTGCACCTCCTCTGCTGCACTTGGTGGAGGGAAGGGGAAAAGCTGATGCCTCTGCATCTGCCCCAATTATCCCTCAGGCCCAGGTCACACTCAGAGCTGATTTTTAAAAGCAAACTAACATTGTAGGTTCTTACTGTTTGCACTCCTTATGCTCCATAAGGTGCCATGAACGCTTTCTGAATTCCTCTGCTTCCTCATTGGCAGTGTATCAAAGGACAGGGCATTAATGCAGGGAGCAATTCTCAACTTATTTTTGTGAGGATGGCATTGCCAGATCATTCAACCAGAAAAGACAGTGCCAAAAAAACAGTGGAAGAAACCCAAAATTGACTGGCCAAATTCCATCATGAACTAGACATGAAAGTTTCTATATAATAAGCTATTTTTATTGACAAGTGTAGCAAAATCACATCTATGAATTAAAAACCTCTTAGAAAAATAGGAATAGATAGTGGGTTGATATATCCCTGCAATGCATGTTTAGATTTCAACCCCAGACCTAAGAAAAAGGAATGTATTTTTAGAAATGGCATTATTATGATGTATTTACCCCAAGACGGGGTCATAAGGGAATATAGGATGGGCTATTGGTTCAGTGTGACTTGCTTTCTTATAAGGAGAGCAGGGTGGGATGTTGATACTGTTGCAGTTTTGTCCTTATAAGGAGAACAGAGTGGGCTAGTGGTTCACTGGAACTTGTGCCCTTATTAAAAGAACAGGGAGAGCTCTGATTCACTATGCTTTTCATCCTTCTATGATTGTATTCTGTCTATTTGATTTTTTTAGTGAAATATTTGAATTCCTATCCCTTTTCATTTTGGGTTTGTTCTTCATGTATTTCTCTGTGGTTCCCAGAAGGGTCCCTTTAACAGGGGAAAGAGAAATTATCTGATGTGAACATATAGTAGCATAACTTCAGTAACATGAAGAATGCTGCTCCCGTACATCTGTACTCTGTCTCACTGATGTCAGAAATGTAACAAGTGTATGCATTGTGTGCAGAGTCAAGGATGAAGTTCCTCTGAGGGCCTGTGTTTTAGGCATCCTCTGGGTCAGCAGAAGATCCCATGATCTCTATTCAAATAAATATTCTGTTCTTTGGAGCTACTCTCAGTGGGTATGATCTTGCACGTTCCTGAGATACCCTCAAAGCATCTTCCCTATTGTGTTTGTGCAAAGAATCTAGCATGTCTTTAGGGTCGATAAGATCTTCAACAATCACATCTTCTTTAGCATCAACTTTGCATGTGCATTTCTCTCCAAACTGCAAATTTCAAAAATCCTTTTGCTCTGTTTGCTGCTCCCCATTCTCACAGTAAAGTGGGCTAAAAGCTGCCAGCAATATACATGCCAGTGACTGAATGCTGTGCTATCTTGAAATTTCCTCCACTCGGTTAATTAGCCCCTTGCTTTCAAATTCAGCCTAAAACAGAGTCTTAGCAAATGGGCAAAATATGATCAAGTTCTTTGACAGAAAATACACAAACGACCTCTAGTCTGATTTCACAGTCTTCATTTCTTTCTGAAACCTCATTAGCATGGTAAGCATTCCTACTGATATTCTGGTCTTCTGAGCTCCCCCCAGAATTGCTCATTAAGCTCTGCTTACTACATTCCAAAACTTTTCAGGCTTCCATCTTTGAACTGTGAAAACCATCTCTAAAGGTTTCTGATCCATGTGGTCCAGTTGTCACAGGAATGACCCCACTTTTTGGGTGCCAATTTCTGTTTTTAAGCTTAATTTGGCACTAACCACACCACCCAATGAGAACAACTTAGGGATGAAAACTTTATCCCAAGCACATGCTTTTAGAGGTCACAGTCTGTAGATGGCTGAAAACATTGCTCTGGGCCCAATGTGAGGCAGCACATCATGGGGCAAGGACCAAGCAAAGGAAAGCTGCTCTCTTCATTGCAAAAATGAAGTAGACAGAGTTAAAGGAGACACAGGGGAGAAGCACCTTTTCAGCTTCCACCTGCCTATAGTTAACTAACCACCCAGTTAGTCCATTGGAACTAGGAGGGTCTGATTAGGTACAGCTCTCACAATCCAGTCGTTTTGTCTTCGAATATTCCTGTATTAACACAACAGCTTTTGGGGAACACCTCATTTTGAAACCACAAGAAGTTGTAAGCCTATCTGCTCAGGACAGTGAAACCGGGGAAATGACATGTTCAAGCCCAGCTTGAACAACTTAGCAAGACCTTTTCTCACAATTAAAAGGATATGGATCTAACTCAGTGTCAGAGCACTTGCTTAAAGCATGTGATACTCTGGGTTGATGTGTTGAGTTGCCAGTATGTTGGCGGGGGGGGGGGGGGGGGGGGGGGAAA